TGCAGCGATTTCGGAGGGAAGATGATGGGTGGTCTCAGAAATCTGAAAATTTGCGCCGTGCACAATCGTCTTAACCGTATGCAACGGTTTTTGAGGACCAAGGGTGGGTGGCCTGAAAATGCGGTACCTGCCTAAACGCTGCGCACATCCGCTTTGAAGGTTTGCAGCAAATTCAAGGATGGAGGACGGGTCGTTTTCAAAATGCGGCTCTCGCCTCAGCGCCGCGCACATTCGTCCTAATACTGGATAAGAGCTTCGAGGATGGAACGCGGGTCATCTTCAAATAGTGGCTCTCGCCCGAGCGCCGCGCGCCTTCGTCTTAAACAATTACAACGGCTTCAGGGATGGAGGGCGGTTCAATTCATAGTGTGGCTCTACCCTTAGCGCCGCGCGGTTCGTTCTAATAAAAGCTTGCATCGCCTTCAAGGATTCGTAGAGCTGAAGTACCAGGAACGATGTTACGCCACGATTCAGGATAGTCAGGACGTGGCAGTCACGTTTATTCGCGGTTGAAGTCTCAGGAATGGAGTTCGGGAACGATTTAGGGTTGGTGGGACACAACAGACGCGTTGCTTAGGGGTGCTGAAAGTCCCAGGAATTGCGTCTGCCACGGTTTAGGATTGTGAGGATGCAACAGTCACGCCGATTCCCGGCGTTGAAGTCCCAAGAATTGTGCTTTGGCGCGATTGAGGACTCTCATGCGGTCGTCCTTTAATGGGATAGCGTTCGTAATGAAAACAAATTCTCGCAGGGACCTATGAGAAAAGAACTTGGAGAGAGGGTTTTTTGGTGTTGGGGGGGGAGACGGAAGGGAAGGGAAGGTCAGGGAACACGCGAAGCACCAGCCAGAAGCCACTCGCCGTCAGCTGCCTGCAACGCCACTGGCGGACAAATCCAGCCAGGACTGCAGGGGCACAAACAAATGTCACGGACTTGGTGCGCGGGCGATGTTCCGCCACTGCTTAGGAGAACACTCTCCCGACAGAACGTGGTTCTTTTTCCCGCCGCGGGGAAAGCAGAGAAGCGGAATAGAGCAGGAGGAACACAGGCAAGCAAGTATTAGGCTGCGGACCCGACTCACCCCAGTCAGGCACAGCGAAGGCAGCCGCAATGGAAGAGGGAAAGGAGGAAGGAGGAGGAGGAGGAGGGGAAGGACATACTGACAACATGAAAGCTCACACGTCCAGTGTGGAAATCGCGAGGCGGCGGCCGCCAGCGAGCCAGTGCCAAATCAGCGAGGCACAATTGAAACTGAGAGCAAGCAGAATCCAAAGAATGTTTAGCTGGCAGCTACACAAGACATCTTCGTACCAGGGAGGGGAGATCAAGCACGACGAGCGTCGATACAAACGCTGTCAGCGATCTGCCTCGATATAGAGCAACTGCAAACACCCCAGAACGGCCCAACAGGCCCCGGGGAGGGCACCAAACGGCACCAAGAGGCCCCCAACGAGAGCCCCAAAACCAGCGCATATCTAACACGACACCGACTCCAACAAGGGGGAAGGGAGGTGTTAAATGTGGGCAGGTTCCGGAAACCCCTCTGGGGGCCACTCGAAGCCCCCTTGGGGCCCTCAGGGGGCCAGTTGGGGGTCCCGGGACGCCCTGGCTACAATCCGGGAGGGGACGGGGAGAAAGCGTTTCAGGGCGGAACGGATGAGAAGGAGGAGGAGGAGAAGGAGAGGAAGAAAAGGCAGAAACGAGGAGAACAGCTACTGAGTACTGCGACCCTTCGCGGAGGTAACTGCGGAGAGCCCCAAAATATTCCTGAGGAGTGAAAAAGCCGTGTCGGATGATGTTTTGAAGGCGATAAAGAGCGTAGAGGGCACGAGCTCTCTGCAGGACGGGGGGCTTCCCGTTCCGCTCCGCTTGGTCGGTGCTCAACCGCATGCACATGAAAAATCAAGCGCCCAAGCCGAATCCACAGCAGGCCAATTAAAGTTAGCAGCAAAAATGTCGCCAACAACCGCGCACCGTGCATAATGCTCAAGGCTGTCCGCATAGTGGCCGCAACCAAACACGCACCTGCCAGTGCCTTGAAAGCGGCGCTGTGTGCACCACCCGTTGCAGATGGTGCGAAGATAAGCTGCACCTACTTTCGGCGCCGCGCTGCGTCCGAGCAGCCCGAAAACCTTCGTGGCACGAGCGGTTCGATGCCCAGGCGGCGTGCTCATCTGCCATCGGTCCAGCCGACGTCGCAAGTGCAATTGCGCCGAACACTGGGGCGCGGTGCGGAAAAAGGCGGCCACTCGCCCCTGCCAGCCCTGTCGCCGGGGGTCAGACAAAATGTTGGCGGGGAGGTCGGCCGCCTCGGCGCGCAGAGCGCACTCAGCTGCCGCCAGCTTAGACAGGAAGCTTTGCCCGGCCCACTGCCTCCACCAATCCGCGTGGCCGAGCGAGCAGGTGGAGCGCGCGGCGGGGAACAGCGCGGCCGCGCGAGCATGGACGTTGAGCCCGCCGCGTGCGCGGTTCTCACAAGTCGCGACTCTCGCCTTGGCGGCAAGCGCCGTCGCGGTCAAGTCGGGCAGCTCACTCGGGAAGTTCAGACTGCGAAGGTCCTTGAGACAGGGAGGAATGATCCACCCCCGCGGACCCGGAAGCAACGCTCGACAGGCCTTCAGCTCAAAATCGTTATAATTCGTGGGGAGGTCCTCGAGTGGGGCAACAGAAAAGGAAAACAGAAAGGACATACACTCTGTACGCACGCATCGTGAGACAGAGCCCCAGGCCCAAGCGGCCCCACGTGCGGGCCCGCTCTATATATTTGGCCGCCGGGCTGTCCCAAGACAGGGTGGCTCGGCCTGGCCCCACGAAAAATCCCAAGTACATGGCGGCAGCTTCAATCCGAACGCCGGTCCCGCCACCTGGGCGCGCAACTCCTGCTCGTCGTACCGGTACAGGGGCACGAGGCTGGTCTTCTGGATATTAAGCGCAAGCCTGGACACTGCCTCAAAGTCTACGAAGAAAGTCTGCAGGGTGCCCAGCCAAGCGAAACCGCTGCACAGCACCATGGCGAGGTCGTCAGCCCACGCGCGCGACCGCGCGGCGGGGGCGACGCGCCGAAGACGACGTAGCATAAGGTCGGTGGCCATAGCAAACAGTAGTGGGGACAAGGGCCACCCCGGCCGAATGCCGCGAGTGATTGGGAATCCAGGATATCTTTCGCCGTGAATGTGAATGACGCAAGTGTTGTCCAAATACAGAATGCCGACGGAGGTGAGTAACCATCGTGGCCAAGCTTGTCGAAGAATTGCAAGAAAGACGAGTGCTCGATGAACGCTGCCGCAAAGTCGTAGAACAGCGCCATACCAGTCTCTCCCTGTGCCCCAGCGTGGATCATGGCTTCGTCCACATCCAGGATATTAGCGACCATCGAGCGCCCCGGCAGAAACCCCCTCTGGTCCTCCAAGATGCGCGGTTCGATGTTCGGCTCCAAGACCTATCGAACAGCGCTGGCAAACAAGCGGTGATCACAATTCGTGACGTTCAGCGGGCGCAAACCCGATGCCGAAAAGACAAGCGCGCCAGACTCGGTGACCCCCTTCCGCCTTCTTAGGGAGGAAGAAGAGAAGGCTTTCGTTGAAACCTGAGTAATGCTGCCGCAGCTTGTCGGGGCCGCTGTCCTGCACCAACTCCTCAAAGGCCTCGAAGAGCGCGTCGACCGCCTGTCCTGCAACAGCACCCCACGCCCCGTAGGGGATCCCGTCGGGGCCAGGCGCAGAGTTGTTGGAGAGCTTCAACGCCTTCTGAAAATGCAGCCGTCATAGCTGCAAGCCTCGAAGAAGAGTGCGGAGTGATCCGTGCTCCGCTCTGCCAGCTGCGTCTTCCTCCAGCCACGCCGCCAAGCGGCGCTCGTCGACGCCGCGAGCACGAAAGGTCTCGGCCCAGTGTCGACGAAGTTCCGAAGCCATCTCGCCCGCCTCGGTCTGGTAGCGGCCGGTTGAATCAACGACTGCGCCCACGCCAGTCGACGAGCCCGGGGCAAGCTTGAACAGCAGGCGCGTGCCCTTCTGGCGTTTCCGTCGCGCCTGCTGCGCCTCGCCCTCTCTCTCGTCCGCCTGTGCCTCCTGCAGCAGAGCGAGGGCCACCTCCCGAGCCAGCTCGGTTGCGTGCTCCCGGAGGGCCCGCAAGGATATCGTGAGATTGCTGTCGGAAGCATAGGGGTTGTCGACTAGTTCGGCGATCTTGGGGTAGCGAAGAAGACACGATGAGACTGGAGCGAGGAGGAGAGAGGGTTTCTTGCCACATCGCTGATGCGTCTTGGGCTTACTCTGGTCCTCCTTCTCCTCCTCCTCCGCCAGCTCCCCCTGCTCCTCGCTCCCCCTCGCTCCTACTCGCTCGCCCTCGCTCCTCCTCGCTCCCCCTCGCTCCTCATCGCCTCCCCTCTCTCCTCCTCGCTTTCCCTCGCCCCTCCTCGGAGACCCCCCGTCGCTTCGGTGGCTTGAAGTTTCGGTGGTGTGGTGCTGGCCGTATGGCCGCCGCTGCCCCTGTTTGTCGCAGCGCAGCTCCTCCCTGGTTCCAGGTAGGGGCGGTGTTCCCTCGATGCCGCCACTGTTTTTCAGAGGTCGAAGGCCCCCTGCTGGCAAAAAAAAACTCAGGGGCCCTCTCTCTCCCCCTCTCCCCTTCCCTACGCTCTGCGGGGGCCGGGCGAGGACATCGACAGAGCTCTCCGCCGAGGCCCGACGGGGGCTCCTCAGACCTTCAGCGCAGCGGGGTGACCCCCTGGAGGCCCCAACGGCGACGATCGCAGACCATCCACCTCGAGGCCGCCGACCCGTCTCCCCTCCCTCGGGGATCTCCTCTCCCCAGGCCAGTGCGAGCCCGACCCCTGGCTGGCCCCCGCCTGCACTGACCGTGAGCAGGAGGAGGAGGAGGAGGAGGAGGAGGAGGAGGAGGAGGAGGAGGGGGAGGAGGAGGAGGAGGAGGAGGAGGAGGAGGAGCATGCCTCAAGACTCCCGGCTCGTGCGGGGCCCGACCCGCCCAGCCGCGCGCGGGCGCGCCTCCCGCGCCCACCCGAGCGCCGCCGCAGCCACGGCGGCGCGGCCGCCCCCCGCGGCCGCGCGGGCCGCGAGGCCACGCAGCCGCAGCGCCCGTCCTGGGCGCACGCGCTGCGGGCGCCTCGGCCCTCGACCCTCGACTCTGGGCGCTGGGTCCTCGACTCCGAGCCCTCCATCCTGCATCCTCGCCCCCACGATCCTCGACCGCGCTCTTCTCCGCCCCCGCTCCCCGGCCCTCCGTCCTCGATCCCCGACCCCGGATCCTCGGCCCCCCATCGCTCCGCGACCCCCGACCCCGGAGCCTCGGCCCTGAACCCCCGACCCCCTCGGCCCTCGATCCTCGGCCCTGGATCCTCGGCCCTGGATCGCTCCTCGATCCTCGGCCCTGGATCCTCGGCCCTGGATCCTCGGCCCTGGATCCTCGGCCCTCGAGCCTCGGCCCTCGCTCCTCGCTCCTCGACGGCGACGCCGCTGGCGGCGGCGACGCTCACGAAGCGACGGCGGCGGGCGGCGGCCGCGCAGACCCCCAGGCCGGCGCCGCGCGAGCGGGGGCGAGGCTTTGAGCGGATCCGGGTCGGCGGCCCAGCTTCGGACAGGACACGACGACGACGACGACGACGACGACGACGACGACGACGACGACGACGACGAGGGAGCGCGCGGAGACCGCCGCGGCCTCGTCGCCGGCGTCGATCCAGGGCCGAGGATCGAGGAGCGAGGGCCGAGGATCGCAGGCCGAGGGTCGCGGAGCGAGGGCCGTGGCTCGAAGATGGGCTGCCGAGGGGAAGAAGGCCCGGCACCCCAATCGAGGATCCAGGGTCGAGGCGCCGGCAGCGCGTGCGCCCCAAAGCGGGCGCTGCCGCTGCGCGGCCTCGCGGCCCCCCCTGAACGGCTGCGCTGCGGTCTTCGAGGTTCGCTGCTCGAGGTTCGGGGTTGCCGGGCGTCTTCGTCGGCTCGTTGGAGGAGGAGGAGGCGGAGGAGGAGGAGGAGGAGGCGTCAGCCATTCTCAGCTGTTGGGGACGTTTTTCGGGAGGTGCCCGCCTCTCACGGCGTAGGGTGCTTGCCAGCCTCGGTCTCCGGAGGTTTTTTCTTCGGCGTGGGGGGCCCGCTGCCCCGCGCCACGCGCGCGCGCGCGCGCCAGCCTCGATCTCCGACGGCATGATGTGTTCAAATCTGAGTCTGTTCCTCGATGTCGTGGAAGGGGCGACGGTCAGCAACGGGTCCTGCGCGAGGTGGCATGGCGACCCGGCCATGGTTTTTATGCGGGCGGCCAGCGCGGCACGCCACATTGGAGAAACGAGGGCGCAGACGCGCCCTTCTACACGGGCAGCTCACGCGCCAATGTCGGCGCGGACGGCCCCGTTTTCCTGCGTCGCTCCTATGAGGTCCGCTGCTGGGAGGGGCCATCAAAAACGGTTCCGGGCCCGAGAACCGCAGCACACCCAGAAAAGGTCGGGGCGCGCGGGGCCACTCCTCGAGATGATCCAGGCGACGGGCCCACAGAACGCAGGCGCGAGCGACGCGGGACATGATCCTCTCCTCACAAGTAGCGCACCGCGAGGGACGAAAGTGGGGGAGCTCCCTCTCGGGTCACGAAACGCTGGACGGGTATACAGAAGGAGGGGGATCCCCAAATGAGACCACGAAACGTTCGAATGGTGTGCCGGGATAGACTGGGCGGCAGGACGCGGGCTCTGCCACTGGGGCCGTCGGTGGAGCCTCCTCGGGGGCAACGAAACGCGCGACGCCATCGCCTGGATCGGCGGGGGAGCGGACCTTGCCGCTGGGCCCCGTGGTGGAGCTCGCTGCGGGGCCACAAGACGTGCGGGGGGTGTACCGACATAGGCAGGGAGACGCGTGCGGGCCCTGTTCCTGGAGCCCTCGCAACGCGCGGGGACGACGACACCGCCAGGGCACGGGGGGGCCACTGTGGGCCCCCCTGATAAAGCTGCACGGGTGAGAACAAGCGACACGCGCGCGCTCACGCCTCGATTCGGGCGCTGACCTGGCAGCTCCTCGGCCTCCGCCTCGGGAGCTCTTCTCGGCGGGGCGCCTTCACCACGCCCGTGAACTCGTAGAACGCCCTGGCAGCGGCATCCGCCGCCAGAGTCCACGGCGGAGAACAAGTTGTTCGGCGCGGTCCCAGGGACGATCTTGACGAAGGCGCAAAAGACGCCCATGACCTTCGAGGTCGGCGCCGAAACGACCGCGCGGCCCAGCGCTGCGTTTACGGCCTCGTAGTCGGCGGCAGAGGTCACGCGGCTGGTGCTGGCGCTGCCGATGGCCTCGCGGCGCGCCTCAGCCGCCACCTTCAGCGCGCCCCCGTCCGCCGCGGTGCCCACGATGATCGCCTCGTCGACGGCATTCGTGGCATCCGTCGCCGAGACGCCACGGAGGCTTCAGGTAGACGCCGGACGTCCATTCCACGGACTTCAGGAACGGGCAAGACGCGTCCGAAAGCTTCTTAGCTGTTGCGCCGACGTCGTCGCCTAAGGGCGCCCCCGCAGCGGGTCTGGGCGAGGACACATGATTCTTCTTCACCACGTCCTTGAGGCCAAGAGTGTCGAGCACGCTCTCTTGGCATCAGCAGCGTTCGCCAAAAACTTCACGCCCGCAGAGATCCCCGCGTCCGCGATGGCCCAATCCGAACTGTATACACCCATCGCCGTGGAATCCGGCACGGAAGCGATAAAACGGCAGAGCGCCGCGCTCACAGCATCTCAGTCGGCCTGCGCCGCTGGCGCTGCCGATTGCCTTGTGGTGGGCCCCCGCCGCCGTCATCAAGAGCTTCGGGTCCGCCTGGGCGCCCATCACGATCATATTGTCAATAGCCTTGAAGGCTACCAGCGGCTGGAGCTTCCTGGAAGCCTGCAAGTGGATTCTGCTGTTCCGGCCCACGGCCTTGGCAAAAGGCGTACGAATCGACACCGAGTGTCTTCGCAGCATCGCCGATCTCATCCGCCAGCGCGGGAGGCCGAACACCGCAGCAGCGGAGGCTGCAGCAAGCGGCGCGACGCGATCGCGCACGGGCACTTGCACAAAAGCGCCCCTGCGAAGGCAGGTGGCTGCCGCGAGCGCCCCGCAAGCCGCTGAGAACAAACGGCGACCGCGAGCCAT